TCATGCATAACGGTTGTTTTGGTCGTTCGGACCCAAAGGCGAACGTTCGATTGGTTTATAAATATCCTCACTCTTTTCATTCTTTAATAAGACTTTTAAGAGTATCAAAGTAAGATATATTTCGAAAGAATTCTTTGAGCTTGCTTTTGCATTCATTTTATTTATTTTTTCATATAAAAGACTTTGATTGATTCAAAACTCTTTAATCATCATTATCATCATCAAATTTTTTTTCTTCCTTTTTATACTTAACTTATTTCTATTATTTATAAAAGGAAGATATATATTTCAAAGAATATTTTTGAACTAATCTTGCATATATTTCGTCTAATTCTTCATATTGAAAACTTTGATTGATTGACTCAAACTTGTAAAATCATTATATTAATCGAAGTTTCTTACTTCTCTTTTAGTATTTAATTTATTATAATCATTCATTAAAAGAGATAGACATTTTAAGAAAATTTTTGAATTCACATTGCATTTATTTATTCATCTTCTCATTAAAAAATTTTGATTGATTGAATCAAATTTTTTATTATCGTATTCGTCAAAGATTTTTATCTAACAGTTGAGCTATCATTTATTGCTATTCATTGAAGTGTTAGTCTTTCTTACTACTTAATTCATTTGTATTATTTATTAATAGTGAAATTTCATAGTAAAATCGTTGCTCTAAACTTGTGGGTCATATTGAGGTCCCATGAAAACTTAATACTATAAGGATCGGTGTTCCTTTTTGTAAGTCATCTTGTGGGTCATATTGAGGTCTTCTAAAGCTCAAAATAGTATAAGGAATGATGCTCGTTATTTGTAAGTCATTGAAAGCATTGTAAAGGGTTGGATTGCACCACAAGTCAATCAATATAGTGAAAGACCTTCATCATGCCGGAGATCTTGGTAACTTAGGACGTAAATCATTGCTTTGGATCGAACTTCTCCAATTATATCGTTTGCATCCTATCTAACATTTTACTTATCGTCATCTCATTCATATTTATAATTTGATTGATCTACTTATTTTTATTTGCTTACGATTATTAATTGATCAACGTATTTTTAACTTACTTGATTTAAGTTTATTTTTCGAAAAAGTCGTAAAAATCAATTCACCCTTCTTGGTTAGTTATTCTTGGGTTTTCACTCTTTAGAAGATTCTTCTACACTTCCAGTTATCATTTCAAATTCCTTGAGTGATTTGGAGGAGGAGAAATTGCTTGGGGTGTTGAGGGAGCACAATGAGACTATTCGTTGGACTATATCGAACATCTTGGAGAATCATCCATCATTACACATGCACAAAATTCTCATAAAGAATGACTTCAAACCATCGTTGGAGCATCAACATCAGCTAAATTTGAATATGAAAGAAATGGTGAGAGCTGGGGTGGTGAAATGGCTTGATGCAGGTATTATTTATCCAATTTCTTATAGTGTGTGGGTGAGTCCTGTTCAAGTTGTGCTGAAGAAAAGAGGTGTTACGATGGTAGAAAATGAGGATGATGAGCTTATTCCAATGAGGCTGGTGACCAGGTGAAGAGCGTGGATCGATTACCGAAAGCTTAACATGCCACATGGAAGGATTATTTTTCCCTTCCATATATTGATCAAATGCTTGAGTGGTTGGCAAGTCATTTCTACTACTACTTCTTGGATGGGTATTCGGGCTATAATCAAATTACAATAGCCCCGGAGGATCAAGAGAAAACTACGTTCACTTGCCCATATACTCAATAATGCTACTAGAAAGGACCACTTTCCCCTTCCTTTCATTGATTAAATGCTTGAGCGATTGGTAGGATATTCTCACTATTGCTTTTTGGATGGGTATGCGGGCTATAATCAAATTCCAATAGCCCCGGAGGATCAAGAAAAGACAATATTTACACATCCATACAAGACTTTTTCATATAGGGGGATGCCGTTTGGTCTTTGCAATACAGCTGGCACTTTGCAAATGTGCATGATGGCTATTTTTTCAACATGGTGGAGAAATTTATTGAGGTTTTCGTGGTTGACTTTTGATGTTTGGGGACTCATTTGATGATCGGTTGAAGAACTTGGAGATGATAGTAAAAAGATGTGAAAATATCAATTTGGTGCTTAATTGGAAAAAAAAACACTTAATAAGGCATAGTTCTTGGCCGTCGAATTTCATGCAAAGAGATTGATGTCAACAAGGCCAAAATCCAAATAATTGAAAAATTGCCTCCACCACTTGGTAAAAGGCATAAGGAGCTTTTTGGGGCATGCCAAATTTTATAGGCGCTTCATTAAGGATTCTCGAAGATCACCAAGCCATTTTGCTCCTTTCTTGAGAAGACCATTCCATTTGATTTCTCACAAGAGTGACTTCGGCCTTTCAACAATCTTAAAGAAAAACTCATCTTGGCTCTTAATATTATAGCTCCAAACTTGGAACTTCATTTTGAGCTCATGTGTGACACAAGTGATTATGCCATTAGAGTGATATTGGGACAAAAGAGGGATAAAATCTTGCATGCAATCTACTATGCTAGTCAAACTTAACCGATGCCCAATTGAATTAAGCTACTACAGAAAAGGAAATGCTAGTGGTGGTATTAAATGCATTTGACAAGTTTTATTCCTACCTCATTGGCTCTATGGTAATGGTGTACACTGACTACTAGACCTTCAAGTATTTGCTAACTAATGAAGAGGCCAAGCCACGGTTGATTAGATAGGTGCTTCTTTTACAAGAGTTCGACACTTCCCTCTTCCTTTCATTGATCAAATGCTTGAGCGATAGGCGGGGTATTCTCACTATTGCTTTTTGGATGGGTATTCGGGCTATAATCAAATTCCAATACCCCGGAGGATCAAGAGAAGACAATATTTACTCATCCATACAAGACTTTTTCATATAGGAGGATGCCGTTTGGTCTTTGCAATACAGCTGGCACTTTGCAAAGGTGCATGATGGCTATTTTTTCAACATGGTGGAGAAATTTATTGAGGTTTTCGTGGTTGACTTTTGATGTTTGGGAACTCATTTGATGATCGGTTGAAAAACTTGGAGATGATATTAAAAAGATGTGAAAATATCAATTTGGTGCTTAATTGGAAAAAAAAAAAAAACACTTAATAAGGCATAGTTCTTGGCTGTCGAATTTCATACAAAGAGATTGATGTCAACAAGGCCAAAATCCAAATAATTGAAAAATTGCCTCCACCACTCGGTGAAAAGCATAAGGAGCTTTTTGGGGCATGCCAAATTTTATAGGCGCTTCATGAAGGATTCTCGAAGATCACCAAACCATTTTGCTCCTTTCTTGAGAAGACCATTCCATTTGATTTCTCACAAGAGTGACTTCGGGCTTTCAACAATCTTAAAGAAAAACTCATCATGGCTCTTAATATTATAGCTCCAAACTTGGAACTTCATTTTGAGCTCATGTGTGACACAAGTGATTATGCCATTAGAGTGATATTGGGACAAAAGAGGGATAAAATCTTGCATGCAATCTACTATGCTAGTCGGACTTAACCGATGCCCAATCGAATTAAGCTACTACAGAAAAGGAAATGCTAGTGGTGGTATTAAATGCATTTGACAAGTTTTATTCCTACCTCATTGGCTCCATGGTAATGGTGTACACTGACTACTCGACCTTCAAGTATTTGCTAACTAATGAAGAGGCCAAGCCACGGTTGATTAGATGGGTGCTTCTTTTACAAGAGTTCGACAATTCCTACCTCATTGGCTCCATGGTAATGGTGTACACTGACTACTCGACCTTCAAGTATTTGCTAACTAATGAAGATGCAAAGTCACGGGTGAGTAGATTGGTTCTTCTTTTACAAGAGTTCGACTTGATCATTCGTGATAAGAACGGGATCGAAAATCTTGTGTCCAATCATTTATCTATAATTGAGAAAACTGAGGAAATGGTTGATGGGGAGATAAATGAGGTGTTCACGGATGAGCAACTCTTTCAAATCATGTACATTCTCCAAGCCGCTCATGGGTAATGCACGGACCACGTGAATTTTCTTGCAAGTGGCATCACTCTGTCGGATCTTTCTTACCAACAATGAAAAGGTTCTTCACCGACATCAAGCAATATTTTTGGGAAGATCATTTGTTATTCAAGTTGGGGCTGGATCAAATCATTTGGAAATGTGTACCGAATGATGAAATTGATAAAATCTTTGAACAATGTCAATCCTCTTCTTATGGTAGCCATTTTTGTACTTCTTTGCTTTGATTATAGTTAATTCTTTGCTTCTATTTGTGGTTTTTTTTTTTTCCAGATTTGGGTTTTCACGTTAAATTTTGTGTTCTTGTTTGATTATTTTTCATCTTGTCATATTTTCTTGGCTTTAATATTTATAATAAAATGTATAATTTCTATCACCGAGTTATTGCATATTGTCTCAATTTTTAACACAAAATGTATGTAAAATATACAGGGTGTATTTTGTAACTCTCACTAAAAAGTATGAGTAAAAGTGTGGCCATTTGCCATTCACTTCAAACTGTCTTCACCTAGTTTTTTTGTATCTATCATCACTGGAAAAATCCAGATGATCGCCAACTCTAATGAGTGCTATATTATTAATCACGGTCCCTTCATTGGTCAAAACTTTGGACGGCAAGAACCTATATTTTTTGCACCAATTTCGAGCAACTCTTGATAGGTATTCGGACGTCACACAAGCCTTCCGACAAAATCTCCAGTTTCAGGGTAGCTTATAATCATTCTAGCAGCATAAGTTCTTGTAATTACCCTACTTTTATCGTTGTTTACTAAAGAAACCAAGTCATTCTCGCCGGTTTGGGTTGCTAACATGATTCTGAATAAAACGTTGTAGACTCCTACTCCTTGGATGTGATCTCCCCCATGAACCACCTGGTGGGGAAAATGTGTTATAGGACCCAGGTTGATACTCGACTTGCTTTTAAATCTGTTTAGGAACCGAACCCAATGACGCTGCTCAGGGATTGTGAGAAAGGATTGAGGTTGGTTCTAATTATACTATTCGAAAAGTTCTTTTATATCATCATGTCCTTGCTGCTCAGCTGGATTCTTTGGAGTCCAACCATGTTCATCTGGTTTGCCGACGCTGGCACCTTGGTTTAATAGAAATTTGACGATCTTAATGTTGCCTTCACAGACCGCAACAAGGAGAGCTATTGATCCACTACTCTTTGGTTTTATAACATCCCCTTCATGAGAAACAATTTCCTTGAGCAATTTCAAATTATTTACATTAGCTGTCGTTCATGAAAATAGACCGATGTCACTAGAAGTTATCTTAGCGTCTTTATCAAACAGTGTCCTGATAATTGATTCATGTTCAACTAAGAGGGTCTCCCACGATGATACACTTCTAATGAATCTATACATGAGGAGAAAAAAAGATTTGTCAAAGACAAACAAATGCCTCGACATAAAAAATTTGCTTAATTCGGAAAGTTTATGATGACTATTAATTAGTAGTGTAAAGGGCAAATGGAAGTGTTTTAGCAAGAAGACAATTTTGAGGAACAAAAATAGGTATGTTGAATTACTTCTGCTTTTAGGAATGCCCCAAAATCCAGTAAGAGAAGCATGCAGTTCTCGATAACTTTTGATGTTGTTACATGCTTATTAGAGAAAACAATGAAAAGAACATGAGAGAAGTGCAATTCAAATGCTAGAGTTTATCCTTACTAATAATACACACGCACAAGAGCCGTCCTTCCATTATTTTAGAATTCATTTGGATCGAGTCCCTTCTTCAAAAAGTGATGCAACAATAAGTCATCTCCTCTAAGTGTTACGAAACTTAAGGTGAGAGGTAGAGATCCATTCTACCTCTAACGAGCATGTACTCTGTCTCCAGCAGAACTCCCTCCATTATCAGGTCCTTTCGCTCATTCAAATGTTGACCAAAGGAAAGGAAAACCACCAATTGTTAATTACAATCAATGTTTACCATCTGTGAGTTACTTTTCCACGGAAGACTCAAGTTATGAAGCTAAGTCGACCAAGGCAAATTCTGGACCTGAAGGAGATTATTCATGATTATTGTCCCGTCTCCAACATTGGCTTGAACAATGTTCAAAAAAGTGGTACAGTTCATTCGTAATAGCCGGCTTAATCTTTTCATCCGTACTATGAATAGTTGAGGCCTTTAACAAAGTACACCAATATCACGACAAAGATCACCAGCTTTGGCCTCTCCAATAACTTGCAAATATTTATGATTCAGACATCATTACATCAGAAAAACTTCAACCATGCTACATGTACAATCATGGTTGACAATTTTGTTGACAACCATGAGTTGGCAAGAGTCTACACCATTCAATTTAAAAATTATTTTTAAATCAACAGCACAGATATTGAGAACACATGGATTGTCAACAAAGATTGTACAAATAGTTTTATTCAAAAAACTTTCTAAAGCAGACTTGCCTGTTCAACTCCATTTTTCAGAACAAGCAGATCATGTAAAGGATATAGTACTTTAATATACTAGCACATTCAATTCAGCTAGATTACAATAAAAAAATGCTGATATTTGGACATTCAACTTTACCACTGCCCCTGTAACAAAATATAAAAGTTGGTGCTTCATTCTGCAAGGTTACATCCTCTTTGGGAGGGAAATACTCGGCTTTCATCTCTGAGACCTTCAGTGCAAACAAATATATTGATTAGTTTGTATGTAAGAAATAAACAATGATGATTGACTCAGTTGTATAGAATTACTAGCTGGAAGAGTAAATCATTTGACAATCCACAAAACAAGTATACCTCGTCTACCAGAGAGTAGAAAAGAAAATGTGATATACTTGAGCGTATAGCTTTTGGAAGTGAATCTAGAGTATCCTTCTACTGTAGCCCCTCTGAGTCCATCTGTAACTTCAACACTAAATGCGAAAGCATTATATCTTAAAGTCGAGTAGGCAATTGATTCTTTTGAGCGAAGCTTGAAGCAACTTGAATGTTATCTCTCTATTGTTGCACATAAAGTAATAGAAACATAAATCGACCAAATCAAAGACCATATAGAAGCAAATATGTACAAGAATTACACACAAATTGTCGAGTTTTACTTATCCCGTGGACCACAAAATTTGTCATATTTCTGACCAAATATGCTATAAGTCCAAAATTGAAGAGCATGTAGAAAATGTTAAATATCATCTCCCTCATATTTTCAGCATGCAAATCCCCATAACCCATGGTAGTGAGAGTAGTTATGGACCAATAAATTGCAGTAACATATCGATCCCATATGCTCTGATGAAGGAAGTCATCCATAACTGCTCCAATCCATGTCTTTTTAGGATCATGATAATGAGCAGCAAGTAGATAATAGAAGCAACCAGCACAATGAACAGCAAATGGAGTAACCTACAACAAAAAAAGAAGATAGTTCAGTAATACCAAATTTATTTCAATAACAGAATCCTAACGTATACAAAATGAACTTATACAAACAAGCATTGCACATCTAACCCAAAAGCAGTTAAAGTTCCTATCTTTCTCCAATCTGTTTTGCAGAATTTTTTTTGAAAATTATACAAAAGTAAGGCATCGTCAGTTCATCAAACTTGAGAAAAATTGGTGGTGGTATTTGCAAGCTACAAATGGAGGAAGGAGAAGAAGAAAACAATGGTTGAATCTCTCTCAAATCCAGCCCAAAATCGGCTGCCCTTTCACTCCTCTCTTTGCTGCCTCTCTCAACTCCCTCCTGTCTTGCAAAATACACACCCACACTGAAGAAAACACACGGCTATGTGTATATAGGCATTCAATTTAGTTTTGGGGTAAGACTCACTCATAATGGGCCAAGTTAATGGGCTAACAATAACAAAATCCATACATTAACCAAACTACCAACTCAACTAAAACTTAGGGCCTCCAAAGGTATATTAATTGTTTCTGAGTTGAGCCGTCACTTTGGTGTTGATAAAATATCCGACATCGTTTTATCGTCATCGGCTGGATTTATTAGGTAGCAAAACCCAACAAATCTTCACCTTGATACCCAATTAACCTGCAAGCAAACAAGATATAGAGTTTATACTTGCATAATCAAGGTAACTAATAAAATTGGTATCACAGACCTTACCTCGTGTCTCCAACCCGAAACACATACCATACATACTCTATGTACTCACCAAGGCTATGGTCAAGAACACCCAAGTGGAAGCAGATAATCACGATAAAAAATCAAGAGCAAATAATCATGCGATGAAGATACAACATAAGACAACCCAGAAATCTTTTCAAAAGCACGTTCACATAAAACAACAGATTAACACTAAGTTAATCAATCAAACTGTCAAAACACCCACAATAAATGCATAAATGACCACACGAAAAGTTCTCACAACACTTATCCTATCCCATTCCATGTTTCTCACACATCTCGAGAACACAGATCTTCCATCGTCGCCCACCATGTTCACTAGACTGATCACTCAACACATGTCTAACTCGTAAACCTCTGTAGATACTAAGTCCTCAGGATAATCCTCTCTCAACACATCACTTCTCCGAACCTAAGTAGATAATGGATATCCACCTAACAGAAGTGATATAAGTGCTTCTCTCACACTCCACCTGATCAGGGACTTCGCAGATAAAAGATTCCAACATTTAATCACCTCTTCAATCCTGATCCTAATATCACACTCCACATCCCTAGTACATACCACCAGTGCCCATAGGCATCTATTATCCACCTTACCAATAGACATTCTCACTGTTAAAGCATAAAAAACCCACTATGGCATATCAAAACCTTTGGCGACCACAAAGGTTAGGGCTCAATTTAAATTGACCTATACACCACATGGTTACTCCAGCATCAATGCTTAAAAAAGGTCTATAAATGATTTATCCCACAAAGAGAAGGGTTATTGTGACACTTACGAAGAGAATAGGAGAAAGAATTGGTTACTTCACTACACTCACAAAGAGAAAGAAGATAACTTACACATGGCTGTCCCATATAATCTCACAAACCACACTGGCTCACAAAGATGAAGGAGAAAATGGCTGCCCTTCTTTCTTCTAACTGCCACTCTCTCACACGACTCATACGCCATAGATCTCCACTATGCAAATCATTACTCAAAGTAATAAGATCACATCAATATATGCAATTACGCAAACAAATTGAAAGTGTAACATATATTGATGCAACAGAATTTAGCGATCAAGCATGCAAAATGTATTGCACGTAGATGTATATGCAGTAACCAGGTTTATACTCAATAAACCTCACACGGGTCATAACTCAACCCAGTGACAACATTCGCCTCACTTCTCTCCTCATCTTTCCTCCTATTATACTTTCTAGGACAGTCTCATTCAACAAGTCCAAAAATACTGCAGTTAAAAAATCTCTTAATTTTCGTACTTGCCTAAGACCTACATTTTTCATCAAAAGTTTTATAAAAACTTTTCGTTTTGCTAAATTGAAAAATCACATTTTTTTTCTTTAGAAAAACAAGACTCAAAATGTGTTTTCATTTACCAAAAAATGCACAAAATATAAAACGCAACCAACAACAACTACAAGAAAAATACCGATATAATTCACATAGAATAGTCAAATAAACTTTGTTAAGGTCACGTGTAATTCTAATAATAAAAAAATTAATTGCCAACAAATTCACAAATAATTTAAGGCAAATAATTAATAAGTAATTCCTAAGTCTAACAATAGGCAATGGTTATCCCTTCACAGTAACCCAAATCCTAATGTCACCCCACACGATGTCTTCTAATGCGAAGAAATAATGACTATCATGAACAATAGTTCTAACTACAATAATAAGAGGCAAAGAACACGATACCAAGCAGATCATATTTGCGAGTCCATAAACTAGGATAGATGCGAAATCACTGCTTTAGGGTCACCACTATACATCCTAAAGCTTACGACAACCACATCAACACAAAACAACACACGAACATCCAAGGGAAAATTATTCATATTTCACCGTACTGCTCGAAACTGAAATTCAACTACACCGCAGGGTCCGTCTCATCATCGGCAACAATCTTCTTCTGGAGTCATCGCAGGAATGATACCTCTAGCACTGCCTCAGTCTGCTAAGTCCACTGGTGGTCTTTGTTTCTCCAACAACTAAGTGGTTTGGCCGAAAACCCACAAAACAGCTCCAGCAGCTTTGATTTTGGAACCGTCCAGATTCTTCCTAGTTTTTCTGCTGTTTTTAGCTTCTTCCTTGCTCCATTTCAGCCCCAATTTCACCAAAAAATCAAATATTTCTCACATGCCCTAGCTCTGATACCATTTTTCGTTGAAATATTCGATAAATCTTGACTTCGGGTTCGAAAAATCAACTAGACCAACACCAATCAACCGGCTTGACCCAACAACCCTCAATACCTTTGTTACCTCGGTTTTAGCCCCCACAAACGAGACACTTGGGGGTATTTTTAGGAAGGATAAGAAGAAAACAATGGTTGAATTTCTCTCAAATCCACCCCAAAACCATCTTCTTTCACTCTTTTCTCGGCTGCATCTCTCATCTCTCTCCTCTCTTGCAAAATATACACCCACACTGAAGAAAACACACGGCTATGTGTATATAGGTATTATTTCAGTTTTAGGCCAAAACTCACTCATAATGAGCCAAGTTAATGACCTAACAATAACCAAATTCATTTTCGAGTCGAGCAGTGACTTTGGTGTCAATAAAATATGCAATATCGTTTTATCATTGTTGCTCGATTTTATTGGGTATAAAAACCCAACACTCAAGAAACTCACGTTCAAGTGGTGACACCCATGCACTCTAAGCAACAAAAACAACCAGTAAGGTCTCCCATACCCAACAAAATTCAATTTATACTGGTTTTCTTGGATTAAATAATTTAGCGGTCAACATACGGATTTTTTCTGAAAACTTAGACAACCTCCAACGGATTGAGATTTTAATGAATTTTAAAAGATTATAAATTTTAATAAATTTCATTAATTTGAATAAAATTTTCTAAAATTCATAAGAATCCTATTAAAAGTAGAGAAATGTCCAAAGAGTTTGTTATATGTATTTTTAAACTTCTAATTATCCAAAAAAATTTAAATCCCTTTAATAATGAAATATTTGCCCTGTTTAATGTAGATTAAATATTTTTTAATAGGTTTCGATAAAATCTATAAAATATATGGTTAAAAAGTTGTAGATTCCATAAATTTATAGTTAAATTTAATTACTAACTTTGACTTAAAATTTTAATCAATTTTTAATCTACACTGAACGGGGCTTAGTAAATTTACGATCTCTTGAGTATGCCTAGATTTTAAAGGATTTCATTGAAATTCATTAAATCATAGTTGAAAACATCTAAATTTTAATGGCTTTTAATAAAACTCCTTAAAATCTCAATTGGAAACACTTCAATTTAGAAAAACTTTCAAAATCCATTAAAATTTCGGTTGAGAATATCAATGTTTGAAATTTCATTCTGAAATCCCCCTAAACAAGAATAAAAATTGAATTGCAATTCCAAAGACAATTGTTAAGTGGTTCCAAACAATAAAAACAAGGTAGATGAAGTCCTAAATTGGCAGTAGCGGAGTCAGCACTTGGCAAGCCAGCGCGATTGCCCATGCTGGTTCTTCCAGAAAAAATGAGGGAGGCAGATCGACGAAAAAAGTGAGGGAGTCAAATTGGGAGGCAGCTGGATTTTTAATTTGGGCTTAATCTAGATCTATTTATTAAAAGCCCAGCAGCTTAAGGGGCAAATTAGGTTGATATTCTAGTCCAGCGACTCCCGTCCCTTTCCATTTTGTTTCATTATTAGAGGCCGCTAAAGGCGATATTGAATCAAGATTCAATACCTCGATTGTACAGCTGCAAGAGGCGAGATTCAGTAACAATTAGGTCAAATTAATCAAATTCCATTTCCGATTTCTCTTCTACAATTCAAGGTGTGCAGGCGTGCAGGTAGCTACATGGTTCGGCGAGTTGGTGATACATTTATATTTGTTGTTATATTTCATTCTCTTCTTGTTAATATGTCTAATTTCTCTCTCTTTTTACCCAGTGAAAAGTTCCAACTTTGTTTCGAGTTTCATTTATTTGTACAAAAGGTTAAACGAAAAAAAAAATGTAAATACCTCATACTTGTACTGTGTACTTGTAGTCTGTAGAATTTAGGCATCATTTGCTGTTGTATATTTGTCTTGAGAGAATTCTTGTTAGTTTTCTAAGCATATTTCAGCACCAGTTCTTCCAATTATTGATTGGAAATTTGGCATTATCATAAAATTGAACTTGGATTTAAGTTGGTAGAGGAAGGATAAGAGAGATTTGGACCGAAGTTGATCTTCAGTGAAAATACGTAGTTAAATCCTAACAACACCTAGGGGTGAATAGGTGATTATGCGGAATTATAATTACTTTACAATTAAATAGCAACAAGTCACTATTAATTATTTTCTAGATGGTTAATAATGCAATTCATACTTTCCTATGTTGAATTACCATAATTATGAAAGGAATAAATAACACAGAATTGATCGCGGAGAAATCCAACTGGGTAAAAACTCTGGGCATTTTGTCAGTCAACAATCCACTATAAATTATTTGTAACTTACAGTCTACTTGACTAGACGACGACACGTACTATCTGATCTCCTAACTCTAATTCGAACAGCTCTCCTAGATTCTGTGCTGCTGCACCAAATCCTAGCTGCAGTTTCCAAAACTCCTCTGGATTGCGCTCTCCTGCAGCAACTCCTAACTTTATGAAATCATCTATCTCCTGTGGATGTACGAAGATCACCGCGTTCTTCAACGACTGGAACTCCGGTCACCTTCCATTGATCTTCGGAAACTCTAACAAATATGAAGGAAGCAGGAGTTTGGTATTTAGATTATGAAATTGATGTTTTTTTCACCACCAAGAACAAATAACTATTTGAATGACGAAGGTTGAAGAGTAATTGGTGAAGAGAATATGAAAAGCTAAGTGTTTGCTCAATGATCAACCTCGGAAAAATCATTCAATGGCGTTTGGTATTTATAGGTTAGGTTTATGAATGAATGGGCTGGACAAATTTTTCTAAAAAACGAATTAAAAAAATTCCTAGATAGCACTGTCGCTCGAGGGAAGGGTTAGCGACAGGAGAAGCTATAGGCGGGCGACGCAGTTTCTATTTCGACGCTTGAGCCAAACCTTGGCGATAAACTACCGATATCCTAGCGTCGTTTTTCCTTCTTTTCCATTCTCAAACCCTAGACCTAATATAACACAACTTTCTACTATTTGCACATTACTCCTTGATTTTTACAACATTTCAATTTAAGTCACTTTTGTTCACAGATTTGCCAATTACATTAAATACCTAACAAGTTCCCCCTTTTGCATTCTATGACAAAACTACAATCTAAAGTCAAGACAGCAGTAAAAAATACAGACTCAAAAACTAACACAACCAAAAACTGTCTTGATTGAACTCTACTTTTCATATATCAAAACCTGCTTCCTAAAATAGACAACTCAAGTACCCAGTGTAAAATGTATGTGAAACAATGTTAAGTGTAAAACCAATTTAAGTAGTTAATCAAGCAGTACTAAGTGTAAAAATGAATGAAGCAATTAATAACTCATAATTCATTTTTCAGTGTCATATAATATCATATGCTAAATTAAGATGTAATATCAATGCAACCCAACATACAAAAACGAAACATTGATACTACAAAACATCAAAAACTTAATTAGCAATACTGAATTTATCATTTCATTAAAAAATGTGTAGATACGTCAAGTCAAGAAGATAAAATCATATACATCCTCAAAATACTATTCCATCATAAAAAAATATACCTACACATGCTTCTTCTTTTTGTCACAAAATGACAAGGAAATAACATATAACTGAAGAACATCGCACAAAAATACTTTGCACCCGCCATTTGGATTATAATATTTTAGCATTAACAGAAAATAACTCAAAAATACTGTTATGAACATGAACAAAGATAAACAATGAGCAGTAAACATTCTCACATACTTAGTCCAAGTTATCATTGAGTAAATTGTATAAGCGACACATAAAGTAAAGTGTCACTAATCTTTTGAAAATAGGACTTCAGACCTTAAATTTGTGATAAAGGACATGCTAAACATCATTGCCAATAATGGAAAACTTTACAATTGTCACATATTTACCACCACATATGTGTAAATAATTCGGCCAAATATTTATCTTCCTTTGGGTCAATCAATACACACATGAATTACGTACACACAACATTCCTAATATTCTAAATAAATTAATTTAGGTAAGAGATGTTACTTTGGTAACATATTGTTCAACTAATCTACTTTAGAAAATTAATAATCTGAAATAAATATTAAGTACCAATCAAGATATGAGGCACAATCAAATTGATTTGAAATTGATTGTCTCATATCTTGATTTACATTTAAATGAAAGATCAATAGCTCCCGCCTCCCAAAGCCACTTAATTCATCACAGACCAATTATATAATGTTTGCAAATTTCATTACACTTTTAACTTTACTAGGTGCAAGCAACGCGCAATACACGTTTGCGTAGTTTATATTTAATAGTTTTGTTTAAAAATTAATTTGTTATTAATAAAGATGTAATTTTTTTGGTTAATTAAATAATTAATGATGTAATGTTTATGTAATTGATAAATAATTAGATGTGTGATTTTGATGTTGTGATGTAAGTTGGTGAGATAGAA